AAAAAAAACCGGGGGAAAAAAAAAAAAAAGCGTTACCCTGTTTCCCGGTTTCCAGAAGGGGGTTGGGTTTTTTTAAAAAGGTTTTTCCCAGGCGGCAAAAACCATTTCCCGAGGGCAACCCCGGGGGGGGGGTCTTTTTTTAAAACTTTGTTCCAAGGCGGGAAAACCCCAACCCCCGAGGGAAAACCCGGGGGGGGGGGGTTTTTTGAACAAGGGGGGCCCCAGGGGCGGAAACCCCAACCCCCGGGGGAAAACAGGCCCGGGGGGGGGGGGGCCGGGGGGGGGGGGAGATTGCTTGTTGTTGTGCCTCTGTCAGGTAGTTCTGGCACTTGCGTGGGCGTGATTTCGTTCTCAAGAGACAAACAAGAAAAAGAAGGAAGGCGGGAATCGGGAGGCAAGAAATGAATTGCAAGACCTGCCCGCCATTCCAACATCGGGGGAATGTAAAAAGAAACGCAACATTCCTCCATCATGGCGTCGTCTTGTGCCAACGGGGTACAAAAGACAGAGAAGACAAACACCACCGCTGCATGCATAGGCCTGGCGGGCCAGTGGTACCCAGTGCACGATAGAAGGGCACACCGTGCGGGGCTTGATCGAGCACGCGAACAACACCCGCCTTCGACCCGACGGCACGGCACGGCACGGTATGGTACGGTACGGTGCGGTACCGTATGGTACGGCATGGTCCGGTACGGAATGATAAGGTACGGCACGGCACGGTACGGTGCGGTACGATCCGGTCCGGTCCGGTACGGCACCATCCAATGGCCTCAATCTAAAGAGCAAATGAGCCCCAACTTCACTCAGTACAAGACTTCACGCTCACCCAAAGTGCTGGAATATGTCGCTCTGCTTGAGCAGGAACTGCAGCCTGGCCGACGCCTGTCGACGGCAACAAGACACGGCACGTCCAAGTACGGGCACACATGAGACAGAAGCGCAGCCCCGTCGCACACCAGCAGGTGGTGTGTCAAGGTTAGCAAAGGGCGACATGGGATACCCACACTCGCCTATGGCACATGACGTCACTCCCCTGCCACCCGACTTGAAAGAGGATTGAACCGGGTTGCTCGCGCTGCTGTTCCGGGGGAATGAATCAATCAAATTAATTTTGTACCTGGTGCACACAGAGTAGTGGTCCCTGAATGCATAAGGCCGCATAGTGGAGAGGGATTGGCCAGGCCTTCTACCTGGCCCCCAGCATTATTCAGAGAATAAGACAACTTGAATATTCCATCCGTGTCATGGCGACAGGCCTTTTCAAGCGGCCATAAAACAGGGACCGCTACTGTGCGCCCAACAGGTTGATGCCAAGCAAGTTTCTCCGCGTAAACGGGAGTGCGAAAATAACACCAGGAACACCAGTTTCGTTGAGCGGGTGTCAAAAATAAGTTACGCGGTGGGCCTGATCCACGCAACGCTTCGCTTCACGAAATATAGTCGAGGTGACAAAAGTAGCAGCAACACTTCTCGGGCGTGAAGCACTGTTCCGATGTGAAACTGCTCAAATCTGGAAAAGCCAAACACGAAAAGAAACAGACACAAAACAGGTTACATATTGCATATCATACCCGTCTATTGCGCCAACAGGGGGGATGATACCTACTGCGAAGACGAACACCACCGTACCGATGGTACCTGCGAGGTACCCTGCTATACTTGCGTGCAATCGTCGATCCCTGCATAGATGTATCGAGTCCTTCGAATTGTGTAATGAGGCCGTAGACTAAACATTATCTAGGGCCAAATCCTTGGCTTTATTCCCTTCGACAACGAACGACACCATGCTCCAAAAGCCCCGCAACGTGTTGTTGTGGCATCATGCAGTCGGCACCAACCTGCTTGGCAATCTCGTCCTTGATTGAGGTATGCTGCGCCTCCGCTATCTGCGTCCGAGCGTTCCTCTCCGCCTTCTCCTTGTTCTTCAAGTCCTACACAAGCAATGGCAAGAAAACGGCCCAGGCACACGCAACACACGGGCGAAACGTCATGCCAGGAGCGTGGCAACAAACCGCGATGGGAGGAACCAAGACGACCACCACAAACGACAGGTAGATCTCCGACATGTCATCTGACGTCACAATCTACTACTGCTGTAGAACACGAGGTGACTTCATTGAAGAACAAATGCTGTTCACGGCGTCAATTCTTCGCGACGCAGGCAAGTGGCTCGCAGCCTGATTTCGATGGCATCCTCCGCCACGAGCAACGTGAGGCCCAACGCATAAACGACACCAAACGCCAAGGTGGAAGTACAGTCACAATCGTAGCGATTCCCCCACGGTTGGGATAGGGCAGCCCTACTGCTGCCCTTTTTGAACAGGAGGCAGCCAACCAAGCGCGCCTTATCACATCTACTCTAAAGGTACACCGGCGTACGATCTGACAACATGCAGCACAAATAGCAAACATAGCACGCCAGACAGATTTAATAAGGCATCAGCTTGGTCACGCCCTCATCACAAACAAGTACCCAACATACACGGGTGTTTCCGCTGCAGCGAAATCAGCATAAATAATAGAATCCGCAGGTAGCAGCATTGGTATCCCAACAAAGTACCGATACATGTGGGCAGCTAAGTCAGTCAACCAGCCGCACAAAGCCTACAACTGTTATCCCCTGTAACTCCTACTGCAGTGTGTAACTCTAAAGCAGTATAAATTGCACTTGGCGTGTGCTTTGTGCGCTTTTCTTGTCTGCCCGTGTTGTACTCCTCCGCTTAAGCCTGTCTCACTTGTCTCTCCTGGCGGCGGGCCTTCTCCTCCTCGGACAGCTGCCGCGGGGGGCCCATGGCCTTGGCCTTCGGCTTCGGCTGCTCGCTCTTCGGCCTTCCCCTCATCCGGCTCTCCGTCGTAAGCGACTCCCTCTCCGCGCGCTTGGCCCTCTGGGCCTCGGCGACCTTGTTCGCGTTATTGGGAAGTAGAGGATCAGGCAGCAAACGAAAAAAATTCATTCATTGCCTCTGTATGCAGCTACGGGCCACAGTAGGCGGCCCACTTTCAGTAGCCGGGCAGTGTGCTTTGTTTGATTTCACCCACGAAATGCCTGGGGGGGGGGGGGTAACCCCGCCAAAAAAAGGCGGCGGTTATTCCAGCCAGTCTGCAAGTCTTCGGCTGCATCTCCAACGATCTCTTGTGCTCTCTCACGAGCGAGTGCCGCTGCACCTGCTTGCGAGCGCAGCAGACATGCCTTCACAACTCGCGCGCGCCTACACCCACGGCGGTGATGCCGGCCGTTGAGCACCAACGCGCTTACAACAATTGTTAGAGCTTCGTCTGTTAACTGGTCGGTCGCACAAGTACATGCTCTTTGTCTGTGTTGTTTGTCTGCCCGCGCCCCGTGTTGCTTCCACTGCTACCGCCCCTATCTACCACCACTGCACACTGCGTCACCTCCAGGTCCTTGGCGGCGCTCTCCCTCTCGAAGCGGGCCCTGTCTTCGGCCGCGAGCGTTTCGAACTTGACGCGGTCCGCATCGTCGGAGCCCAGCTCCTTCCATCTCGAGCTGAGTTCCCTCATGACGTCACCGAAGTCGGCCGTCTGGCCCTTCGCCTGCACCGAAGCCGATCGAGATCGAACATTGCGCAGGCTTAAAGGATTACATCATGTCAAGTACGATTGAATTTCGTCGTTCGACGTGGAAAACTTTGTCAGTAATTAGGTTGGCACCCACCAAGGATGACGCAGGGGGAAGGGCAGACGGGGGTCGGGGGAAGAGGAGCACAGAAATAGACAAGAGAAGAAAGCATGAGATGTACCGGCAGAGACACACGATAGAAAATCGAGTTAGCGGCGTTACTCCCAAACAATACACGACATCAAGGTACCAGAAAATCTACGACCTTGAACCGCAACTCCATCCTGTACTGCAACAGAAGTCGGAACAGAAAATCTGCTCAAACTGTCCTGTTCTCGCAAGGGCTCCGAGCATGGAGCAAAGCAACTGCCCCCCTCCGACTACCAACTGCTGCACGCTGCCGTAGCGATTCGCAAGGATACGCTACTAAATAATTATCCAGGACACAATCAAGGACTTGTTCTGCCGCGCAACAGGGGAACCCTCCCAAGGTTGATGATGACTCCACCACTCACCTCTAGGCTAGCTTTGACTTCTGCATGCTTCTCTTTCATGTACAGGTGATACGCCGACGCCGCTGCCTTGATCTCGCTCATGGTAAAAGGCGCCACGGACGGCTCTTCGTTGCTCTAAATCGATAGAAAGGAATGTGCGCGTCGAGAGGGAGCAAGACAGACAGCACGGGGGACGTGGAGTTGGCCCGCACGCGTACGAAAGGAAGCCATGAACGACTTGGTGGATGCACACACACAATTCGTGACACTTTAAACATTGGCGTTCCTGGTACAAGAGGTGGTTTTGGTCACAAACACTTGTAGCGCTCAAGTGCACTATTCATTCTGCGATCAAGCCAATGTTCTTGGAAAGGAAGACCAAATCCAACAAAAAAAAAGCAAGAATGGATCTCTGCTGGGTGTGGTCGCTCCTCTCTCTGTGCTGCTGTATATGCTACTATTGAAGGAGAGCGAACTTTGTGCGGAGTCTTAGCCGACACGCTCTATGATTGCTATCTACCACCGCACCAGGTGGTAAACATGTCTGATCTTCAAAGAGATTCCTCGCTGAGGGCATCACGCAGGTTTACTTGCACCAGCTGTCTCCAGGATACCACGAGCTCCAATCTACACGTAGATACAACGGAGAGCCCGACGTATCTCCATGGAGCGGATACTGACTTACAATGGCATGTGCTTCGCAATGCCTCGTTATGCCCCCGACGAGCTCTGTCGAGGAGGGTTGGCTCGACAACACTCACAACACTGCTGGTGCGTCGCGGACGAGCACAACGCTCCGTAGACCAGACTATCGAACGTGCTGAAACCATGGGATGTTTTGAAAGCAAAGCGGGAGCCATGTTTTGAACCTTAGAGAGAGGAAGGTATCAGACGAGAGTTCAATCCGGTGCGTGAGAACATGGTGGACGCGAGGATGAAAACGCCGGTGGGCTGCACTAATGCGGCGCGAGGGTACCCCTCCGCACGCCAACTAGAGGAGAGAGGCAACGTTGGAGCGTGTCGCAAGTACTAGCTAGCAAGTCCAACCTCCCGTGATCCCGTATGGTATGATATCATCCGTATCGAGATCGCTGCTGCCGTGTGCCAAGGTTCCAAGGTTCATCATGATACGTGCGGCATACCTCAGTCGTACCCAAGCACCACGAGGGTCCAAGATGCTTAGCCACCTCCTCCTCCGCGGCTGTCAACCAGCAATTGCTTGCCGAACGCCACCTTTAGCCTTCTAGCACTGAGCAGTGTCCCAGCAGTGTCCGGTGTCCGTGCTCCGTCGCGGGGTCTTCCCGATTGGGGACTGGCCAGGGGTGTGCGGTTACGGAGAACCACTACCATTTGAATGGCCCCCGACACGGAGCCACGAGAAAACGAGGAGCCACGCGACCACAGACGAGACGCTGGGCCCGACACACGCCAACAACGTATCACCAACCTATCACAGCACTTCTCCGATCTCTTATACGAGGGGCGACCATGTCCGCAGTTGTGTACGAAGAAGTGGCGTTGGAGGAGATGGTGTACAACGACTCGGAGCAGATGTACTACTACGAGTGCCCCTGTGGCGACAAGTTCGAGATCTCCCTCGAGGATCTGTACGACGGAGAGGACATCGCGCCCTGTCCCAGCTGCACGCTGCAAATCAAGGTCCTCTTCGAAGAGGTCAGTGTGTGTGCGGATGCTATATATCTGTTGTTTTTGCTGCTGAGGATGGGACTACAGCAGTACTTCAGCAAGTAGATGGTAATCGTAGAGCCCTGTCTCATGTTCGCGTTAGCCTCACCGCCACCCCGTCTCTGCTGTCCTCACTACTGCTGTGGATTCGGTCTGGTGCACAGGGATGATAGATGATACGGGTTTTGGTAGCGAAGTTTTTTTCCACGTGTTTGTCACCCTTAGTTGTGGCAACATGCTCCTAGCTGCTGTCGGGCCGGACGTGCACTTAACAACCGTTCAGGTCACACTCCCCCCGAGATACTCCGCGTTTTCTCTTCATCACTCATTGGCAATGTGGAGCTAGCAGACGTTACGTCCTACGGCAGTCAGACCTCTGCCCTACTTATACCAAAAACACAGGCCATCCAGATAGAGCATCAACACGTGTTTTTCGCACGAACAGCAACACCACCCTCTACTGAAGCTACGCCACTGGTGCAGTCCCCAACCACAGGCCCAACAGACCGGTGGCAGTCGCACTCCAATGACAACCTTCGTCTACATAGCCCGGCCTCTGTATAGCCTGACCCCGTCCCCCTCCACCTGTACCCTGTACCCGTTGCTCCTTGGTTGGGAACCAACAGAGCGAACTCCCGGAGCTGAGACCAGAGGAAGAAAAAGAGGAAGAGCACGGGCACGACAGCCGAGGAGGCGAACCGGTTGTCGTGGCATCGACGCTCGTCGAGGCGCAGGCGTAGGAGTCCACCCGGCGTGCCGTCTTCATTTTGGTTGGAGTGTCTCTCTTGCTGCCTTGGAATGTTAATGTTTCTTGCTCCACCGTGACCTCTTGATGTTTAGTTGTCTCTCTATGGTGAACCTAGCAAGGTTTGCCGCTTTCGAAACCCACTGGGTGTGGGCGACATCGATGGCGGCGTGGCAAATACCACCTCTGGAGTCTTTGGTTCGGCGCAGTGTAGGCAGGCCCGGAGAAGCCCCCCGCCTCCCCACACCCCTTGCGGCGTACCTCGTTGTTTCAGTTTGTATATAGAAGTTATTGTGTGATTCGTACCGCTCTGCAGCTGCTTCCTTGCTGGCCCCTGACTCGCATGCTTACGAACGGCCCAACGTCCAACGCCCCCTGCGCGTCATGGGTAAAACGTGCCCTGAGGTTCTCCGCTGCCACCCCGTAGAAAACATCCAGCAGCAGATTTTGGTGGCGGTAGGCAGGAACAGGAGGGAGGCGATGCTGGACAGACTAGTCGCTGGCGTAGCATGCGACGACCGCCGTTTTCGGCGTGTTGGTGTAATTTACTGTGTTTAGGGGGTTATTTCTGGTGCATACCTTTGTCATGTCTGTAATTCCGCCGTGCGTGATTTCTTCGATGTTTTGTGTGGGCGAATATTTGTGAGTGTTTATCACGACCTCTGTTTAAGCTAATCCCAGATGCGATTTGGGTGGCACTGGTTCTACGTGCCGCAGATCCGGCTGCCAAGCTAGTATCGATCGACATGGCGCAGATCAAACTGCGATGTTTAGAAGCCGAAATCAAACCATTGGACTAGTCAGCGTGATTGGACGATTTAGTCAGCGCTGGAAAGTCTAATGGTTTGATTTCGGCTTCTAACAAGTTAGCCGTTGGCTGGAAACCTGGGCCGCGCTTGAGGCGTATTTCTCCTGAGATCCTGGATAGTCTTGGCCAGAGTATGGGTGGCGGAAAGAATCATTTGAGACCCTGGAACATTCTTCAGGATGTGGGCGATGAGCGGAGAAAATGAAGCAAAGCAGATATTGGATGGATAGCAGTGCTGCTGGCGAGGGGAGTCATCCTCCTCGGAGTGAAAGTGCCGGGCCATTCAGACCCCACACCTAACTTCTATTGAAGCGGAATCACACCAAGTGAACGGTCCTGTAGCGTATGTCCACCCGACTTCAGCGTACGTTAAGCACGATCCAGAGGTGCCGCGAATGTCTCGCGCTGTACGTAGTTTTGGTCCTGCGTCTCAACGACCGTTCGTTATTCACGCCAACTAGAATCGTCCTTGTCCGCTTCTTACGGCAACCGTCATCGGTCAAACGTGGCACGAAAAATCCGGCAAAGACAGCGAGGGCGCAAAAACAACACGATGCGAGACGATGACGCCGTAGGCAAGCTCTCGTGCCAGGCAATTCTTGGCGGGGATTACACAACCACTCACTCTGTTGTCAGGTCGCACGCAGGGATTTCCCTTCACCGTGCCAACTGTTTTTCGCCTTTACAATCCTATACGAAATTCTCCTTTACCGAATTCCATCATGCTGAGATGCCGTGCTGCTTGGAAAAAAACTTCAAGTTCACTGTCCCAGCACCAGGGGTTCGGACGAGGAGCAATATAAGTGCCCCCCTCTAAAATGCACATCGGGAGCACCAATCCACCGCCCCCTTGCAGCTACACCCCTACGCCCTCCTGCCACGGACCCGGCCATCATCCCGCCCTAGTTGCAATGTCTGTCGGCCTTCTTGGTAGCGCGCATGTCCAGCATCTCCTCCCGAGTCATAGCTTCATCCACGGTCGTTTCGATGATGCGGTAGTTTCCCGCCGGCGTTCGCTCCCGATACACCAGGCGCTTGCCGCCCGCGCCCGCGTACGTCCCGAACGCGCTGTCTTCCTCCTGCTCCAAGAAAGATGCATGCGCTCGTGTACGTCAGGCGTGAGGAAAATCAACGGCAAGGACAAACAAGCATTGCTACCGTTCCGACCCTGCTGTGTCACCGCGAGTTCAATCGCAAGCGAGAAGCATCACGAGCTTCAGGACACGCAACCCGGTGGATGTCCCAGGCATCAGCAAGACTTCAAGGCGGTGGGGCCGCCCCGAGCAGTTTTTGGGTGCGGCGGCGACACTTTCGAGTCTCCCTCCACCATGATGAGACCGGCACATCAACAAGTGGTGCTTTCTCATGCATATTGCCGTACAAGTTGCTGAGGATGGTTTCCCAGCTCCTTCGTTCATTCCAAACTCTAGCAGACGCAGGAATGCTTCTTCTCAATCGGTGTGCGCGGAAGATGTAGGTACATCGTCATTTATCCTTAGATGAGCAGCCCCCCCGCCAGTTGTACGTATTTCAAACGGTTAATGCGAAGAAAACGGACGACCTGGGTTCCCCCGTCAACAAAAAAATGGGGGCGTACGCATGTGCATACGAATTTTGTGTCGCACCTGGACTTTCCGTTTTTTTCTTTCCTCCGCCTTGGTCTCGGCGCTGACCTCCAGCCGCGGCGCCTTGATGTAGCGGAAGTTTGTCGTGGAGATGAGGTCGGAGCTGAAAGGGCTGCTGATGGAGATCGACATGTTACTAAGAACCATCTTGATGATACGGGTTTCTTCGCGCAACCTGCCGTGTTTGAATGGGAAGCGGGAATCAAGACAGGAAAACGTGAAAACGTTTATTACACCCAGGCACCACGTTGCCGGACATAAGCAACCAACCACATACATTCACTCTTTTTTTACAGCAGTTATATCTTTTTCTTGCTAATAAACGTAGCGAAGCCATCTCCCATCAGATAAGAGTCCAGGATAAACCTCTGTAGCAATGGATTCATGGAGTTAGTGGAAGCACTACCGGTGTTTACACGATCCCCCGAGCAGCGCACGGAGATATCCCCCCTTGAATTACTGCCGGCGACAGGACTGTCGTCTTCGAGCGCCTCGGAACTTTAGTACCAAGTACACAGAGGGGGGTGGCGAAGGGATCGGACGTTTAAATCTATCTAATCCGCCGTCGAAAAGGGAAGGGAAGCGGCGATGCCCGCCGTCATTGGTCCCGCCCCCACGACTTGGATGTCGCCCCAAGCCAGGCAAGCAGGCATTCACACTCTTGGACACACAACTCAGCAACGCCCGCCCCCCTCCCTGCTTCTCTCACGTGGTGGGGTGTGTGATGAGAATAGCGTCGCCGGAGTGCAGCTCGTCCATGAACTTGGCTTCGTGTCCGTGCACCGCTGTGCCGGAGGATGTGATCCGACCGGTTCCCGATACCGGCCTCATCTCTTCTTCCGCCTCCTCCTCATCCTGCTGTCCCCCAGCAGCAGCCCCGCCTGCTGCGGCGGCTTCGCCGGTACTCGCCGCGGCTGCCTTCGCCTGCGCTCGCTCCCTCTTCCGTTTTAGCTTATCTTTCTTTTTTCCTCGAGAGGAGACAGCCACTTCTCCGCCCTTGAAGACCAATCTGCCCCCTTTCGGCATTGTTACTGACCCCTTCCTTCGGTTGACACCGCCGTCGCCCTTGTTGTAACGTCCCTCCGTTGCACTCGCTCTAATTGCACAGGACACAAGAGACCCCGCCACCCCGGTTGCAATGGTGTATCTGCTGTAATTGACGAGTTGTCAAAGTGATGGTGAACACCTTGGGAGATTCTCAACCGTAAAAGCGCTAGAACTGCGCCTATCGTATACAGAGCGTGCGCAGAGAGGTACCTTGGCCCTAGCTCTGGTCCTGAGAAAAGCTGACCGATACAATGTCGATGGTCTGTCCGCGGGGACAATATACTTCTGTCCCCGGGTTTGCCGACCCCAAATTATGGTTCGCGAGCAAAAGCGAGAGGGCAGACGGCCGACGCTGCGCTGCAGAGGTCTGGGATCTGGGGGCGGAGAGCGACAGCACGCACACATATGCGCGCGATACACACCGCACAACCACAGCTGTGGAGCGTTCACGTTGGCTCATCACCATGAGTGCACCCCGTAATAGCGATGGAACATCCGGCAGAAAGAGACCTCTCGAGCCTCCTCGCGGCGACGAGGAAGCACCGCAGTCGTTATCTCGCCGCACACCCAGCCGACAATTTGAACCACCACCCAGTGCCGGTGACCTTATCAGAGACGACGGCAACTCCAAAAGCAATGACGGCCAGGACCAGTATGGAGATGAATCCGATATCTTCGACGTGGCCGACCTGCCTAACGACACAATGGCGACTGTACTCTCTCTTCAAAGAGAGTTCTACGGGGGACAGCCTCCGACGGGGAGCGTCGGCGAACGTACAGGAGTTGTTCTGCAGCACCAAATGTGAGCGGCCTGGCTGAGGAGTGGTCGCATGGTCGCACTGAACGAGGAGGGAGCAGTTTAGCTTGTAGTTTTGATCGGAATGATTATATCTAGAGTGCCAATGCCTGCGACCAGCATCGTGTAGCTCCTCATCCAACTGGTTGGATGTTCCGTTCTGCCAACACCTCCGTGCTGGGGGGGTGCTGAAGTCGCTTGTATGCATAGGTCTCTGTGTGTACGGATGGATTCACCTTTCAGGCCTGGCCTTGACACACCAATCAGCTCACATCTTACAGGCTGCTAGGCAATTTAATGGATAAATCTCGCTGTTCCTCGTCGCAGCTACACGGTGCTGGAGAACAGGACCGCCGTAGATGTCGAGCTTACAGCAATGCGAAAGGAGAACGTTCTCAGAACCTTCCGCCTTGGCACCGGCCGCGAGGACTGGGGGATCATGAGCACAGCGCACTATCTCCGGGTGGTAAGAGTCGTCTCGCCTTGCAACGGAGGAAATTAGTGGTTCACCCGTCCACACGCGAGAGCAAGTGTTTTGCGGCGTGAAGCACAGACAACAGCAATCTCATGCGGATGTGCTCACGTCAAGGGGTGTCGACGGTCGAGGCCTCTGTCCTCTGCGTTGCGTTCCCATCTCACTATATTAATCGTTATTTCAACAAATTTGCAGATATTCAGCACTTATTAAAGCATGTAACCAATGCCGGTGGTGAATAATGTATTTTTGTGGGTTGCGCAACGGCTCTCTCAACTACGCCTGAACACACATTCGACGCCAGATATCCAACTGCCTGGGCGACACAATCACGCGAGAGAATGGCTCCAAGCAGCCGGCAAGAACCACGGCAGCATCGGTACGAGGAGGCCACGCCTTCGCACGGAGTAGTACCAGCACCGTTGGTGGCAGTAGAAACACCGCCAACGCAAGCACAAGCCGTGGGAGCGGTGGCAACGGGGGCGGCAGCAGCAGCGGGCGTAGAAGCCCGACCAGCACCAGCTTCTCCGTGTCCGGCGCTTCGCCGAAACCTTCTGCCCAGGAGCACCATTCCTCTCTGGCGAGAAACGTGCTCGAGCGTCTGGTGCTCTCGAACACCAAAGCTTACGCCTCTCGAAAAGAGGTGCTGAATACCATGCGAGAGGTTCGGGAGAGCAACACCGAGGCAAGTGGTGGTGGGGCTTCTGCTGCTGCTCCTGGGGGGCCCGCTGTTTCGGGAGGTGGGGGTGGTCGCGGCAAGGGAAAGGAGAGAGCCCCCGACAGGATAATGGGCGGGGACGAGGAGAAGGACTTGAGGAGTTTGAAGCAAACCGAGGAGGAAGTGGTCTCCCTCACCAGGTGATTCCAACTCCAGGAATGTACATCAGCATGGTGTGTGGTCGACGTATATACAATTTGTGTGAATGGCAGCCTTTTTTGTTGGGTGGGGAAAAACATGACAATCAGCAGAATCCACTTACTTCCCAGTGGGAACTTGCTGGCCGCTTGATTCTGATTTGACTGTAGACGTTGCACCCCTTCCGAGACAATAGTGCCGTCCATACTCCGAATAGAGATACCTCTAACTACACCTTTCATGGAGGGTTAATCGAATAGCGTCACGCTGACGAGGGTGGTACGAGCGGCCTTTCCGTGGACGTTTTTTACTAGTATGCGGTAACGACCTTGTCTCGCTCCCTTGAGGATGTACGAACCTTTTTGAGCTATAGCTTCCAACAACACTGGGTGCTCACGGGCTGCGGTTGTCTACATTGGGGGTCTAGTTTTACAACCGAGAGCCAACTGAGGGCTTCCTGGATTACTACAGACGACCAACTACACACACGAAACAGCATCTAGGTGCTGATGATCCAGGTACTTTTTCCGACATCACTTCCATCAGTAGAAAAGCGGGATGGCTAGGTGCGCTTCTCTCATCCTTCTACTGCCCCGATCATCGCAAACATCGCACCTGCCTGCGTTTCTCTATGTGTAACGGCGTGTTTTTCTCTTTCGCCTCTTCCTTTCCCGTCTCATGCCGCCAGCAAACTTATTCGGGCCGGGTTTCTTCTGCCGAGGCGAGACGTTGGTCGCGAAGAGGCCTACTGGTTTTCGATGCCACAGGTTAGCGACCTGTCGATTATGGCGAAGCTGGATTCGTTGTGTGTGTAGGAATGGGGGCTGTCACGGACTGGTATAGTGGTCGAGAATTTGCTTGGTAAATTAGGGGAGGATTCTTGATCCGGTTTGGGCTGTTGGTTTCGAGGATTATGATGCCGTTTCGACGGAAACGGGTACATGGGGGAGGTATCGCAAGCTGTACGAAACCACATCTTGGTTGCTTTCTACCAAATGCATCACTCGGTCTTGTCTACACTGTCGCAAGGCGCTCATGGTGATTGCACTCTCTTTACAACCCCCATCCCCTCCTTTTTTCCCTGCTGCCGTTCGTGTGCGCCGTCATGGCAGCTTGGGAAGGTCATCACCTCCATCGCTCGGGGTCGCAAGGACGTGTTAGCCGCTCTCAAGCGCACGCGATATAAGGAAATGCGACGCGCCGCCCTAGAAAAGAAAAATCCCGCCAAGGCCACAGGTCTACCGCTCAGCTTTCACGTCAGAGATCTGCTGGGGTTGGGCATGATCCGCGAGCTGGACACGCCGTCCGGGATGTTTCTCAGGCTCCCGTCAGACCCGTCTTAAGACTTGGTGGCGCGCGAGCTTGTTGTAGTTCAATTTTTGGTATGCATCTGGCAGAAACTTGTCTACTGCCCAATCACTGTTGAAACCAAATGTTCCCGAGAATGATACTAGGACTCATCGAACCCTTTAAACAGCCGATTTGGGTGGGCAAGCGTAGCCCGTCTGGAAGAGGATTCGGGCGAGGTGTTTGAGCTGTAAGTATTTTTTTATGCACCAAACGCAACACCACCACCGGGGAGGCTTCATGTCTCATGCACCGAACTTCGCGGCGGCCCAGGGTGCCTGCCTGTCGACTCGCTGCAGGTTGTTTCATGGCACGTTGTGTTGCGACCCGTGGAATAATCCACTCGGGGCAAAAGTCGACATGCACTGCAGAAAAGGAAAGTTCCTTCAATGCCGATTGTCTTTGCACACACACGACAGAAGCAGTCCCAAGAGATTGGACAACGCTATTTAGTAGCTAATGCTCGATTGTTGTTGCGCACCACCAGTATACCGCGCCCTTCAAAACCGGTCAACGCAACCAAGTCTGTAACTGCACCCTAAAACCCTGTGGTATACCGTAAGAGGCGGAGAGATGGCACCCCCCTAGAGCGACTTTCAAAGCTCGATTCCATAGTTCCACAACCAAGCGGGTGCTGAAAGAACCCGATACATGTACGGAAAGCCCTCGATGACACGTTTCCAAAACAGCTATTATTGGTGTTGGCACAAGCTTGGAAATCGAGCAATGGAGCTGTGAAAATCGGGGTATCGGGGGTGCCATCTCTCCTCCTCTTTACGGTAGAATCATTTCTACCCAACGGTACCACATTTCAACACGTTCATGACCTCAGAAATAAGGACCCCCGCCTCATCAATCCTCGCACCCCACCACCAAGAACAAATACGTGCGGTTCAGTACGTGAAGACCACCAAACGAAGGCTTGTATCGCCATGTAGCCCCTATCCCAGCCATCTCTTGTCCGCGCAAAACAGTGGTGTATACCTATCTACACCGAACGCATCCATCCCTGTGCCTCGGTGTGGTACTGAAGCCGACCAATGACTTGAAACCGGTAACCACCCGACCAGCGCCATTCGTCAAGAGAAATCTCCCGTTACTCGAACGAAACACTGGCACCTTACTTCCTCGTTTTTATTAGCGTCGAGTATAGGGCAAGCAGAGGAAGCAGAAGACAACAATCTTTGATGCACCCGTCCTTTGACTGGACGAAATGTGGCGCTGACTACAGGCATCGATTAAGAGCTGCGACGTACTTACAATATATACCCCGGAAATATATATTTTTTGAGAAAAATGATTGGACTACTCAAGAGAAAGCAAGTTCTCGACCTGGGTGGTTCACAGCAGTACAGCAGAGCTGATGGCCAATGAAGCTGCATGTGCAGGTGGAACGATTTGGCGTTGTCTTAGGGGGGCGTACTCCCGAGGAACTGCACCCTCACAGCAAACACTTCGTTTTTCATGGCTGCAGATTTCTAGAACGTCCTTGACCCATCTGAACATGTATCACGTTTGACAACAGCAAATCTCTGTTGGACTTGAAAGAGCTATGGGAACATTTGAATTCACCATAGTATCGACAGGAAAAAGACTCTCCAAAGAAGCAAACAATACAAACAACGCGACATACAACACCATACCACTTATACTTGCTGCAGCAGACAACAGCAACAACACCGGGGAAACAGCACCGAATGTTCCCCCAATTCTCTACACAATCACGTACTGGTAAGCTGCTCTGTGCACCCGTGCGTGCTGTGGCCGACAAAATCGCCCCCATGGATGCTTCGTAAGACCAAAACTGTTCCCTCCTGGTCTACACCATCGTAGTCCATATACACAGCCACAACCAGTAAATACCAATACATGTACTTCTAGGGTTGCACTGCACACCACCGTGGTAGAAACGAGTCGAGTGGTTTGGATGCTTGCCCCGAACGCCTGTTCATCCGAACAAACACGTCAGAGAAAAGGCCAAAACGATGGTCCCATAGAACACCAACTACAGGGCGTTCGAGAAAATGGCAACAGCGAGCGTGACACATAAAACACCAATCTACGGAAAGAAGAAAAATATATAACTATGTGCCGGTCCCGTATCTTCGGTGGTCATCTTCCGTGTTGACCGGCGCCTTCTCCGACGAAGACCGGCGGCTTCGCCGTCCGGCCCCGATCTCCGCGGCTGCTAGCGCCACATCTGCGCGCTCGCTCCCGCCAAACACGCTGGCCGGGCTGCTGCTGATACCGCCGCCGTTGGCACCGCCGCCCGCGCCGTTGTTCCAGTTGGGTATCAAGGTGTCATCTTCCCGGGCCTGGAGGGCGGGGGGAACAACGGCGTCGGTGGTGCCTCTCCAAAGTAACGGTTTCGTGCGGATGACTAGTGGGCTTTTCGAGTACTGCTGTGGCACGGATTGTGTTTGGGCGTGCTGTGAAGCTCGCTATTCCTTTCTTATTGTTGGCTGTTACCTACATGGCTGGTGGGTCATTTATTTAGTCATTCTTGTTTTTTTCTGAATATGACACAAAAAATCCATCTCTACCCATAGAAAAGAGTCAAAGATAACTAGCAATCAATTTATAACGTCAGCGGACACTACCTGTATTTCTACAGCAGTTATGCATCTTTTCATTTTCGTCAACTGCTGCGGGTAACGGAGAGGGAACTTGCCAGCCAGTACAAGTTGTCCGCGATTCCGTAAGGTGCATCAATGCCGCTGGTACTAAATACTCTGTCGAAGGACTCGTGAGACTTGTTAACGCTGTAGCCGTACTTCTACCGCTGCTGCGCCATGAAACACGTGAGGCGAAAGCATATCTCTTCGTTGGCACACGACAGTACACTAGGAAATCTTTTGAAACCATGAAATTTGTAGCAGCTTGTGAGATACCACTGCGACAAAAAACGATTTTTCATAGCAAAACAAGAGTCATCTTGATCTTGCGAGGAGGGATCAACATCGCCAACAAGTCGATTCATACAATCGACGCCTTTAAAGACTTGGTGACATGACGCAATGATGCACAAGGTGTAGGTTAACCAACCTTCAGAGTCATACGCCAAGATCAAGAAAGAGAGCAAGAGACCACATCAGCAGGAGCGGCGCATGAAAAGGAAACCAACAAAACCAACAAACATAGCACGACGGGTGTGCGTCTCCACGCCTTGTGAAACAGGCTCGACGTTCTTCGTAGGCGCGTGCAGGCGAATGACACGCCAGAGGTTTCTTTATCGCTCATTCCAGCGACAGGGAGAAGAAAGACACGGAAGATGTGTCTGCGAGCCTGGAGCGAGAGGCACACTACACCCGTATTGCATAAAGCCAGACCCCGAACAACCCGCCAGCAGCGTACGAAGTACGTCCTTGCTGAGGTATCGCATCGAGATGGAGGGGTATCTTCAACGGGTACAGCATGTCTTCAAATGCCTACTACGACAAGCCATTCCATGACGGCAGGAAGACGGTGCAGTGCGATCGCACAACATGTTTTCACAGGCCAAAATGCAAACTAAAGAGCCAAAAAGCCGACAAGACACGCACCTCGAACACGTTGCCCTCCAGCAACCTCATGAGGGTCTTGGCATACGGGTGGTCCAGGTGGTCGCACACGATTCGCGTGATCACAACCATTGGAACCGCCAGGATCATGCCAGGAATCCCCTGTTCTCGACGACCGGACGCCGGTGGGTCGGGAGAAATGGATTGCCAAACGGTGGGAGCAAGAACAAAAACGAGAGGGGTTTGCGATGTACGCTGAGAACATGTGTGCGCATATTTCTGTAAAAACGGCCCGCCCAACAAACACGCGGGCAGGAATGTAAGGAGGGAGAAAGGGGAGGAGCGAGCTCTTCCTAGTCTAATTGTGTCATTAGGTTTTGCTTTCTCGGTTCTCGGCACGGGACCTCAAAACCAAATGTGACGTGACCGGCAGCAAACACGCACCCACAACGAGCCCCAGAATGCGAGGGAGAGAAGAACCACGACAGGGGACAGCTCGAACGATTCCCCGAACAGTCCGGGCTCGACCAAGTTCCCGATCACCAGATGCGCCTGAAACGATACAGAGAGCGGCGAACGGGCGGGCGTGTGGCTTTAAAAAAAATAGTTTCACTTTTTGTGACGAACATCTCGGGTGTGCATACGCGAACGAAATTATTGTACGGGCCACCCCCGGTCGAAGACCACAGGAGTTGACGTCCAATGCCTTCGACGCCGAGTACAAGGCTAAGCACACGAGGCCTGGCTTGGAAGGCAAACCTCCCATCGGCATCGGCACGTTCTCAGAATCAAAAACCAAACGTGCGGATGCCGGTCACACGTTTTGCCTTCCAAGCCAAGCCTTGTGTGCTTCGCCTTGTGTAGTCACCGTCGATCGAAAACGCCGGTATCTGTATGCCTCGGCGATGGGTGGGTAAGCGGCAGGGCCCCGCGCAGCCAAGCTTTAGAACGAAACCTTGCTTGATTCGACAACGTAGCGGAGAATCTATCGGCTGGAAAAGTAGGGGAACAGGGAACAGTCGACGAGGGACAGGAACGGCTGAATCCTTCTCGCGACAAGGAGCATGGCAAGCACCGCAGAATGCAAGTTGAGAAAATAAGACGAAACTTCCTGTGGGGCCCCGGAAAAGGTGTAAAACACAGCAGTGACGTCCATACAAAAAAGGAACGACACACAAACTGGAAAGACGCTGGGAGACGGGATGTTGAGCACCGTCAACCGCAGCAGCCTTTGGTGACCGGTTACCGGGAGAAGTCAACACGCAGTGGACCAAACACCAGTTGCAAGGAGAGCGTGAATGAGAGCGTTCGTCGTCATCGATGAACAGCCAAAAACACCAAAAACGGAAGCACGGTGATGATCGACTACAGTAGTCCCTCTTTCGCGCGCGCCATCATAACTAGAAAACTAATGCGGTTCGGACCCCGCGACGTGCGTGAAGCGCCACGGGTGAATACGCCTCGCTTCGACAAGAGCGACGACGGGGAAAAGCTACTCGTATTACAGCTAGCTCACCGTGGTGGGGAGAACAAACGCCAGGACTTGGTTCAGGTGCGACATGTCTGTTCAACACACGTACACGCGCGCACGAGGTTTGGAGAGAGCTACGGGCGTCAAAAGACATGGACGCGAACAAGAGAAACGGCCTTGCGTCAGCACAGAACCGAGGATGAGGACGAATACGACTAGGCTATATAGCGTATGCAACACGAACCGCCCCCGGTCCTGCCTCTCTCTCCCCGGCTCTGCCGATGTCGGCGAAAATACCCCCGCGAAAACAGTACCCAATAAGTCAGCCGCAGGAGAGTGAGTGCATGCAAGGCCTACAGGGCACGAGCTCAAGCAAGCTGACCAGAGAAAACATGACGTGGCCGCCGCACAAAACAGACTGAGCGACCTACGTGCACCACCTCGAGGGGCAGGAGGATCTCCACCCAACATGAGCGTCATTTCAACCTAACGTCAAGCAATTACCGGACGATTGTCAAGGAAGGATTCAACGACGCAGTACGCAAGACCGCCGTGCTCCCTCCATAAACTGTAGCGGGGCAAGCGTGGTTTAGCACGGTGTCTTGCGGTCGAGAGACAGGCACCAGCCCTGGACTACCGCCGCGGTACTGGACTACCGTCGCGGTAGTAAACCCCCCTGCGAACCTGTCTCGTCTGCACTCCCGAAGCAAAGTCTCTTCGACGCGAGACAGACATGCTGTAGAATCAATCCGAACCTGACCTTTCAGAACCAAACAATCGTTTCACCGTACAACATGGCGGACCACGGTGTCTACGGAAAACACGCGCCTTCCTCCTCCCTCTACGCGCAAATGACGAGCAGCCGCAAAAAACGACAGCTATCTACGTGTAGCAGTTGCGGGGAGCTATATTCTATTGTAGCTCACCGGGATCAAAAATGGCCAGTGGCATCGGCAAGAAGGTGGCGATCATGGGCCCCAGGTTGGGGACAAAGTTGAGGACGAACGTGATGATGCCGAAGACGTACGCCATCTGCACCCCGAGGACCCACAGCATCGTCGTCACCACCGTCGCCGCCAACATCCCCACCTTTGGGCACGAGGGAATAAAAAAAAACAAATTGAAACCATTTTTCCGGCGGATGGAAAGGAGGTGGGAAGCGAAGTATTTTCCTGTGCGGTCACGAGTTGAGAGAGAGGAAGGACACGACAGTGAAAGCACACGCGCCTCTAGAGCGCTGCCACTGACACCATGTTCGGAAGAGAGTGGAAAAAAAAAGAGGTGGACCCTTCTTGTTGATAAAAGCGAGGCGCTGCTAGTGCCGACGAGGCCGTCGCCTGCAGCGGGTGCCACCAACGCGGCGCATGCCGCGTGGAACACGTTTGTGTTCCTCCTCTAATTTAGCGAGAGCTGAAAAACGTTCGCTATTGAGCAGGCGATCATGAAAGTCAAGAAAAGTTGTGGCGCGAGGTATTTCAACACCGGACTGCCACCAACCGTCAGAGCAACAGGCACGATGCGACCTTTCTGCCCCTTTCGATGTCGCACATCATCACACGCCTACACAACAGCAGGCTTGTTACGTCGGAAGTTGTGGCGCGCCAACCTTGAGTCGACCTTTCTTCATCGTTCTGAACGCCGAATAAACAGACGCCAACAGCACGCACATGTCGAGAAGGCCCTTCTCACCCGGCACGCACTCAGCCATCAACCAACACGTCAGGCACGTCCTTCCCGCCACACATGCATGCAACTGCAGCCATCTAAACGTTAAGGGTATTCTTATTTGTATGTAATAGTTGCAAATTTCCACGTATCACGGTGTTGAAATTCCGCCGCAGGGCGTTGACCAATCAGCGAATTGCGTGCCACAAAATGTTTTTCTCTCTTACCATTGTCTTGAGCCTGATGTAGCGCCGGATTTGTAGGTCGATAATGCCCCACACCGATGACTTGATCGGCTTCACGGGACTGTCGTTTCAACGACGGACCGGTGGAAGATTAAATAAAGACAGCAGACACCGCGTGCAACACGAGGAGACAGGTGAGAGAAAATCCTACAGCGTATGCCAAAGACGGGGGGGGACAGGGGGGGACGATTTCCGGCGTGACCGTTCTTGCGCCGCGTGTACGCATGCGAAAGCACAAGGGGGGGGCGCAAGCGGATGGCACAACCGAAGCAGCTGAGCAAGAGATTGTGCATCTGGAAACAATGCACGAGGGAGAAGCGCCGGGTCGCCACAAGGCCATGACACCAACCAAAATGAACCTCAGGCACGCACGAAGTATGCGGCGCGCAACGAAAAGGACGTGGAAGTCCTGGAGCGAGAACTGCGCGGCGATTAAAGAGCGCTAAACTACACGACAAAAGCACCGTGTGTTGCTTCTCTAGGCGGCTGTTGCTGGTTGAAACGTGCCGGGAAATTATTTGTGTGCTCGGCCTCAGGGCACACGCGGGGGCTTGGCGGGCGGCAAAGCGTTGAGTTCTGATCAAAGGCTTCGTTGTGCCCAACCACAAAGAAATAACAGCGTTTATATCACCACACGCGGCAGTATCGAGCGGTTTCACGCACAGAAGGGAAGCAATCGAACGAGCACACGACGGCGACCGACTTGCCTGATCAAGAGGTACACCAGGAAGATGGCGACGAGGAAAAAATACTCCAGAGAGGAAAGTATCAACTATAATAGCAGGTTCACGGCCAAGACGGCAACACGTAGAGCGAGAAAGGCCGGGGAGGGAGGGAGGGAGGGAGGGAGGGAGGCGCGGGGGATGAGGAAAAGTAAGCAGAGAAGGACAACGTTGAGATACTTCGATTCCTCTTCGAAACAAAAACATGAGAAACGACGATTGCTGTACATCCGGCACTGCTACCAAAGGATATCTTGCAATGCGTACTGTAGAGTCACTGCACGACTCAACGACGCTGACGCTGAATTTCTTGCCTACAAATTTTGAGCTTGTCGCGAATCCGGACAAAGCCTAAAAGGGTAAGAAAACACGGCCGAATGCACACCGTTAGACCAAAAAATTTGTCTATGCCACCCGGGTGGTTGCACAACACTCAAGCATACATTCGAGGTAGTCACACACATAAACAGCAGTCATCTCGAATTAACTGCTACCATATTACTGCAAGTGGATCGATATGCGTACAGAATGTGACTTGCATTCTTCGATAGATGCCGCGCGTGTATCGATCGCACCTTCAAGAGTCGAGGCACCCGCTCCCTCAGGCTGCCGATAGCGAAGGGCATGAAGTCCTCGTTGATGCTGTAGTTGTACTTGTGGAGCCTCTTGTCTATCACGCTGGCCATCCGCTCGGCCTCTGTCTGCCGTCAAGAAAAGCGATCCCCGAGACACCGCACACGAGCCGTCGGAGAGGGGGAGCACGAAGAGGTGGAGGACGTGATGGTGAGCGAGAACATAGGAAAGTCTGCAACAATCTCGAGAACGAACTGCAAAAGGGGGGCAGCGAACGGGCCATACCGCAATCGACCCACCGCACAGAGGGAAAGACGCGGCCAACAACGTTTGGCTGTTGTTATTGTTGGTGTCCTAACTGTTACCTCCCCCGTTCGAGCTACGGTATACACCCCTTAGGGAGGGGGGTACGCAGCAAACAGATGCCTCAGCAACGGGGCCAGTGTGACGAGATGAATCAACGAGCATCACCGCCATTTAAATATACCCACCACGCCACCTGGGTGTATTCGGATGGCGACCCCCAGAGCAAGCATGTGAATGGAAGTATCAAAGTTGTGCTCACGCGATCGCACCCTTCCATATGTCTTGCCAAAATCCCCAAAACGTTAGCTGTCAACGCGCCGTTCGTAGATATTTTAACCAACAGTCCGCATCGGGTAGGCTGCGCTACTGGCGGCTAAGCTTTATAACTCAATAACAAAAAATCATCCCACGGAACCCCCGACCGGGAGAACCGAACGTGGCAGCGACCTACAAGAGAGGGATTGTCAAAGAGGGGGTCTGCCCACCTCGTAACTTACCTCGTACTTTCCGAAGTTAGCCTGCAGGCTGAGCACGCTCCCGTACACGATTGCTCCAACGGTGGCCAAGGCCGTTAGCACCACCGAGACTGCCCTCGTCGTTCATGACACGCAGACAAGAACAAGCAGAGCTACGCTCATCATGAGACGATGAAAAAAGCGTGCTGATTGGTCTCAAAACAAGAAATGACCTGACTTGCAGTTCTGCCGTGGGAGCGAGAGTATCACCACGGCCAAGCGCAAAACTACTGCTGTAGAGGCGAAACCGTCAGAGGTAGATAACGCCCAGTCGTGGTGCCGTGTCTTCAGCTCTGCTCGTTCACTCCACCCTTGATCAAACGGACCTGGAATGTGTTCTACTCTCCGGTGCTTGCGAAAAGGGGTCTAAGAAAGCCAATAATGATTCCATGGCACGGCTGGTGTAGCAACCCGCATCGAGGCAGCACTCGCTGCACAGCTGAAACACGTAACGAAAGTCAAGTTGTCGAAGAGCCAACGAGATAACGCTCTTGCGGACGTCAACGTCGACCGTTCTTGTCTGAATGGAAACTGTGACGAAAACACGCCGAGCTTGCCCGCAGGACAGTTATCTCGTTCTTGGAACGCACTCGTTCCTTCCGTGTGCCATAAAAAAACCACGCACTCACTAGCCAGAATGACGGCGAGCCACCGGGGGACCACAGGTTTGTTGAATAACCCCCACCCCGTCGGCGGGTAGTGTTCGGCCGGACCCTCCTCCATCTCCAGGATGTCCTCGGGGGACAGAGCGCTGTACGTCCGCGACTGTTCCGTTGCCGTGACGACAACGAAAACACGACGACAACAAATAAAATCGAAACAAGGGAAGGAGGAGCGTGACTTCGTGCCCAAGACGTCTTCTACGAGTACAGTAGTTCCTCCATTCAGTCGAGAGGCGAAATGTGCCGTCCTACCACAACAAGGCACCTGCGAAGAACGGAGAAAGCGACTACAACTCAAGTGGGCGGACAGACGCAAGACCGCGATAACGGTTACGAACGAAAAAACACGTCAGAGTACACCTCAGCAGCACCAAAGAGACATGCTATTGTTGGCAACCAATTCCATCGAAAACGCCTCAAGTCACGAGCCAAATCAAATCCAGGCACAACGAAGGATAAGGAAAGAAAGCATGCTGCTTGCCGCACCTTGGTGACTCGGAAGCACCCCTCGCAGCAGATCTCCCCGCGACGCTTGACGCACTTGTCGCACCACCGCCGGGGCGGCTTGCACAGGTAGTTCACCATCGGCTGAAGCAAGTACATGAGAAAAACTGCCCGGAACAGACGGCCGGTGCACGGCACGCGGGCCGACAAACAACAACAGGTTTTAACCGGACAAGGGACACAAAAAAACAAGAAAACGTGACACGTAAACCCAAGTAGCACACGCACAACGCCGAGGATATGCATACAAGAAGGTAGGGCAGGGGGGGGTGTCTCTGTGCGAGAGCTAATAATAACTGAACGCCACAGCAAATATATTATGTAAAGCTCAAGGCACGTTGTTTTCATTGGGCGTCAGCGCGTTTTCGCGGCATAACCCCCCCCTTCGTCAGAGGGAACGTAGTGATGTGGACGGGTTGCAGGGAGAGTTCACACGAGAAGAGGTAGAGGACTGCGTAGCGAAACTCAAGAATAGAAAAGCGGCAGGGGCTGATGGAATTGTGAACGAGCTTTTGAAACAGGGGGGGGAGGGGATGATTAACATGTTGGTCCGGATATTCAACTGGATATGGAAACACGAGTACGCGCCGAAGAGATGGAGAGAAGGAGTAGTCGTGAACCTGTTCAAAAAGGGGGATAAAGCTGACCCGGGGAATTATAGAGGGATAACCCTGTTGAGCACAGTGGGGAAACTGTTTGGCAAGATGATAGACAATAGAATGGGAGACATGTTGGAGGGGAAACAAAAGATCAGCGAAGGACAAGCTGGATTTAGACCAGATCGTAGTTGTGTAGACCATGTATATACGTTGAGTAAAATCATCCAAGGTAGGAAAGACGCCGGGCGTACGACATACTGTTTCTTCCTCGATATACAAAAAGCCTACGACACCGTATGGCGCAATGGATTGTGGAAAAAGATGTGGGACATCGGCATCCGGGGGAAAATGTGGAGGATGTTGAAAAAGATGACAGAATGCACAAGAAGTGCGGTGATGTTGGATGGGGAAATTTCGAAGTACGTGGATATACTCCAAGGAGTCGCACAAGGCTGTACGATGTCACCCACTCTCTTTAAGATTTACATCAACGATTTGATAAGGGCGGTTGAAGCAGTAAGACAGGGAGTCCAAGTAGAGGGAAAGAGTGTGTCCGGACTGATATTTGCAGATGATTTCGTGGGGGTATCCGAAACACCAGAAGGGTTGCAAGAACAAATAGATGCGGCGGTAGGATACACCCGAAAATGGAGACTGTCGGCGAACGTAGGAAAATGCGCAGTAGTGGTCTGTAACGAAGATAAGAAAAATCCCGTAGAATTCAAATGGAAATGGGGGGAGGAAGAACTACCGGTAGTAGACAAGTATACGTACCTGGGAGTAGAGATTTCGAAGGAGTGCTCATGGGACGCACACATAGCGAAGTTGATTGGGAAGGGTAAAGCTCAGATAGGCAAGATGGACGAGATCCTTACGGACCCTCACCTAGACACTAGGATTAAGAGGTGCATTCTCTTGAAGGTGATTGTACCTAAGCTAGAGTATGCAGGAGAGATATGGGAAGGTAACGAAAAGGCCGTCAAGCAGCTGGAAACGGTGCAGATGGCAGCGGCCAAGAAAATACTAGGATGTTCAAGTACAACGAGCAACACTGTATTGAGAGCAGAATTGGGAATGTACTCTCTTAAAACAAAGAGAGACATGCAGAAGTTGAAGTGGCAGTACAAGGTAAGTAGAATGTCGGACGATAGACTACCAGCCATGGTTGACGAGGCAGCTTGGGGAAAAGCGACTCCAGGGAAGAAGGGAATCAGATGGGACAAGGTGGTAGAGAAGGTTTGGAAGGAGATAGGAGACGAGGAGGAGACGTTGGACACGGAAGGGTTCGGGGGGTTCAAGACGAAAGTCAAGGAGATGCTAGAGAGTAGGGAGGAGACAACCCTTCGGAAGAAGGTACGAAGCGAAGACCACTTGGAGATATACGGGAAGTTGAAAGAAGGGATAGGGATGAAGAAGTACTTGGACGGCCCCATGGACTATGCGAAAAAGCTGAAATTGCAATTTCGAGTAGGCGATCTGGACTTGCCAGAACGGAGGAAGAGGTATACCAGCCGTAGGAGAGAGGAAGAGGAGGATAGACACACATGTCCATGTGGCAAATCGGAGGAGAGTAGACCCCACATAGTTGGGGAGTGTGAGTTGTACAGGAAGGAAAGAGAGGATCTCGAGGAGGAAATGAGACAGAGAGGGTGTGACACGGACAAGTTTGGTAAATTAGACAACAGCGAAAAAACGATCGCGATAATTGGGGATAGATGGTGGGCACAAGAGGCCCTAGAGGACGGGGATAAGATGTGCAAGAAATTTTTATGGAGTTTGTGGCAGAAACGTAAAGAGCTCCCAAATGTTGGTGGTGTCTCTAGTAGGTGTAGGAACGGTGCTCCGTCTCGAAAGGGACGCGTGGTCAATGGTCAAATGACTACGGCAAGCAACAAATGAGTACGCCCCCCCCCCCAACGAAGACGAGGCTGATAGCCTGTTAATTGTACCAGCAGTAGTTCCAACACAACGAGTGTTCAGGTAGACAAGATTCCGGCGTATGGCACCCCCAAAAACAACAGCAGCTCCGGAAAACGAAACCATGAGTGCAGCACAGCACAGCACAGCACGGCGACCCGCGTGGAATGGGACGGGGAGGACGGGGGGATGGTCAAAACCCTTACCGGCTACGGCGAACGGGATCAAGATCGCCCGCAAGAAGTACATCATGAAGCCGAGGGCGCACGCCCTGCCGAGTCCACCACGACAGCAGCAACCATTCGGTCGTCGTTTCATCACCCCACATCAAACCCATCGGCCGGTTCGTTAGGTTCGATCCGTTGACCGAAAAAAAAGTGCAGAGAGCGAAAGGGGATATCGGGACTGTCATTGTGTGGAAAACGAGAAGGGAAGAACGGGTAAACATTCTCTCTATTTAGCTTAACTGCGGTAGTTAGAATTGTATCCCTCTCCGCTGCAACACCGCAAAATAAGGTGCGGGCATGTAACAGGCGACAAAACGTGACTGACGGCCGGCAGCACCACAGAGTCCAAGCCGGCTCATCGCAGGAAACGGCGAGCGATGACACACACCTAACCTGTCTCACGAGGCAAGTAAGCTGTTGTACTTACGCAATAATGAGGAGGCAGATGGCGGTGAGGCTTTCGGTCCGCAAGATGTGGGCCATCCCGAGGGCGTCCACCTTAAACCCTTGCGGTGCCTCCTCCACCACGTAGGAGTTCGTCCTTTTCCTGCGGGCATGTACACGTGTGGGAAGCGGGAGTCTGATGTCACAGTGAAAATCTGATGTGCGCATTGTAAATCGATCATTAATTGTCTGTCTGTTGCTCGTTGCCTACGTGCGTGAAAGGTCCGAAGCGATCGGCGACTATTGGTGTTCTGCAGGAAGTAGCGTCGTGACTGTTCGCAATCTGTTCAGTTTACCATTATCCACAACCAGGCTATCTACCTAGACTCGGGCCAATCGCCCGGTCTCGAGGAGTGTAGGGACCCGACTACAGTATTTAACCTGAGCAGTGCAGGGACCTGGCCATAGAACCTACAGTACATGTGGTTGAATAGTGTCCATACCAGAATCTACACATTCCCCCAAAACTGTGGCAAGATGTGCGTTGTGCTGTCATCCCATGTGTGTACGTTCTGGACGCCAGGCCAATCTTTTCGGCAGAGAGGTATTGGGGTCACACACGAGGAGACCACACCGGGGGTTTCCTCTACGTTAGGCCGCCGATGGAGTGCTCCCGCACGCAGATTACTCCCCTCCGAAACATCCAGCAGCGGCACGGCCTAAACTACGACCTAAAGCAAGTTGTCGCCTGGTTCTGTTGCTGGCACATAAAAACAAGCCCACAAACAACTCTGTGTCGTTGATGGATTGATCGTTTGATCGGCAGTTTTGGAAGTACAAGGCAAAAGAGACAAGTGGTGCAACTGGTACCTGGGTGGGCAATGTGATGTCGTATTTCAGATCTCGCCCTGCGTCCATCGGATGAATAATTAGGATGCAGTTGTGCGGCCGCAATCATCTATATCCCAGAGAGTACAAAGAGTGGAAAGCACGATGACCCCTCCGTCTCTTGGTCCGACGGTCAGTTTTCTGCGCTGTACGGCGTGCTCGTAGTACGTAACGGAAGTCCGCGAGCCGAGGTCGTTCGTCACATGTGACCAGGTGTCTCCGGTATACATGTGCCATGCGCATGTCTCGTATCCATGAACACACCGATGTGTGCGTGATTCCCAACGCGCGGGCAGCAGCTCAGTTACAACTCTAGGTCTTTTGCTCATAAGCCTCTCGCGGATGGTTGGCTCTAGTATGTAGGCGATTGATTTTACTGCGGGTACGGGGACAGGGGGAGGTCCGCATCCGGAGAGAAAGGATGACGAGTGAGCCCGCAGAGCAACAGCAGAGAAAATAAAACCGAACGCACTAACTATGTGCCTGCCGTTGCGCAAGCGTCGTAGAGTAGGTTCTAACAAAGGTCCCACAAAAACATGTTGACAGCTGCTGTTGTTCGCTCCTGAGTTGCTGCTGCTCGCGCTTGTTGTGTGTCCGTCGAATCGTATGGGATTCGAGCTCCTTTTGAACGGGCCTATTTGAATAATGGGATTCATTCATCGTTGAGCCAACGTCAACGTTGCTGCTGCAAACAACAAGATGTGGCTTGTTTGACGAGTTCGAGTTCCAGTCCCACCTTGATCGAGGAGAGACACGTGCCCCTGTTGTTGGCTGCGGTGCCCACGGTGGCCACGCCATCGCGTTGGAAGAGCGTCAGGGCAGTTGTGCTGCTAGCTGCAATATCTCCAGATGTCCAACCTCCTCCGACACCGACACGACGGGACATACACACTAGGTGCGGGAGGTGCAAACCCCAGCTTTGCGATTGCTCTGCAGGTATCGTAGCTCAATTGGGGGAGGACGATCCTACGGCAGGGTAAGAAGCTTGGCAAGCCTGGAGATGCGATGGGCGGTTAGCCAAACCACCACACGCACTGCCACTGCACCTTGACTTGGCACACGGAGATTTGCTCGGCATGATGTACGTAGCCCCCCGGAGATCAATCTCTGATCCACGGGGCACCCTCCCGAGAAGTAAGCAAGCCCATGTTTCGAGACCGGGAGCGCAATCTCGGAACCCTTGCTCCGCCCGTGCGCAAAAACAACTCTTGTAAAGACGTAAATACATCTCTTCGAACGGGCTATTTTGAATTTTAGCTCCAGGGGGGCAATCTTTCTAATGTTATAAAGTACACTGTAAAACTGTAAACGGACAAACGGTTTCTTCGAGCAAAAAAAAACATGAAAAATGCACCGATCACAGCAAATATGGTACAATATATCGTTGAACCATACCTGGTACGCATACCTCGGAGAGAAGGGAAGAGGTAGGGAACGAGAGGATAACACCTTTGCATAGATACTACTCTACCTGGTAGGTGCGAGTTCTTACAGGAAGAAGAGCGAGCGTGCGAGTGGATCATACCGTCAGTCAGTAATTGTTGTGTAGTCTATGCAGGATATTTCCTGCCTCTTCTGGACGAAGACCAATTCCTGCGCTCTCTGTGTCGACCACAGCCCGCCACCGGGAATGATTTTAAGTCGCCATGTTCCGGACATGGGTCGGTCACGCCGAAGAGAGTTAGAAGGGGAGGAGATGGGGGTTTGGCGATCGTGGTGGGGAAACCAGCGCTGGGGGAATCCTTGAGAGAGAAAACAAAAGGAGACCTGTGGTGCCCACGCCTTCCCCGGGCAAGTGGTCGGCACATTCGGTGATGCCTGCTGCACCCGTATAGTGTGCGCAGGTCGCTGAAACAAGACGACACAATGGATAGGCGTAGCCGGACACAAGACTCCTTACCAGTGTGTCTTTGTGGGACCGACCAACATCGAGAGGAAGCGGTTTCGAAACAAAACACATACAACGGCAAGCGCAGAGAGACGTGGTGCATCCTCCACTTGCCAGGTGCTGCTGTGTTTCCTCACCCAAATCCTACGGTGAACAACACGAGAGATGCATTATGCAAACACGCGCCAAACCGCCCCGACCGAGTAACAACAACAGACAGGCGGCGAGGCACGTGAGGCATGTCAGTGTCGTATCGACCAAAACCAATCAAGCGTAATTGAGTTGTGTATTGTGTTGTTTGTCCTTGGAAAAATAGAACACCGTCACCGCCCCACTTAGACGAATCGAAAGGAAAGGAACGCGCATCGGATTCCCCGTCAAGCCGGAAGTCCCCGACGATGCGGTCGTGGATGTGCGTGCCCCACCCGCCACCAATCAGCGACCCTCTCCTCACAATGCCACGGTTAACAGAAGAGCTAAAAAACAGCAGCGATTAACGCGGAACAGGGGAAGCCTTTCTCTTCGTGGCCGAAACAAGCTATAATAGAGCTATTTGTACTAATCTCCAGGACTGGACTACTCTATTTGGAGAGGATGCTTTCCTCCTCGGGCGACAACTGGAGAAGAGCCGCGGCGACCCTTCGATCTTCGGCATTTAGCACGTTAAACGTAGAGCACGCGTTCACCTGGACACGGTTTGGTACAGGGAAGAGCGAAAAACAGAAAATACCCCAATATTGTAGGTGTTTGCACAAACAGCTGCCAGGTTGCGATCATGTAACATAACAGAAAATTGCATAGTAAATGCAGCATATATTCTGCGCACGCACCGAAACTCAAAGGGTTGTCCGCCTGAAGCGGCCGGCTCAAACCAACGCTCACGTTGTCGTGTATACTATCGTAGCAGCTTCAAGATGTAATTCCATCCTGTACGTTTACGCACTGACCGTGTCCATCTGTTCCACGCGGATCCCCTTTGACGCGAGGTGCTTCACCAGCACCGGGTCGAGCCTAGCCGTCATTCTCTCCCCCACGCCTACAATAATCAGATCTGGAGGGAAACAATGGAGTGTGTGCCAAAGACGAATGGGACGTACAGCGCACCAGTTTTCAGCCACTACTCAAAGCGAGGACGCAGCAGAACGCGAGAATTCCACGCGGTTTTCCTGAAACGCATCTGCGCAGTGTTCTTATATATGCAAACCTGCGTACGCGCTCTACACTAGCTAACCTGCGCATTTTGGAGTACTTGGTCATATTTATCCGCGCTGAGAATCTTCCAGTCTCATACGTGAAAACTGGGTATGATGGACTGGTGAGAGATTCCACATCCACAAAAAAGGTTCAAACCAACAATTGACGCCGGCACTCATTTGTATGGTTACTTTAGGTCTTGGAAGGGGCCCAGAACCCACCACAACCATACAGATCTACATATACTCGACCTATTCGCTTGGGGTATGCATACCACATTATTACCTATCTTGGGGATCACGAGCTCCACCATGCGGAGGCTTTCAACCGTTATGTCCGACGGCCGCTTTGGCTGCCACAGGACGAACGAGTTAGGCATGCAGATCATCGAACCCCTCACGTCCACGCCGTCTCCAAGCTGAAACCCATGCGGGTCATACCTGCCATTCGCAGGCCATTTATACAAGAATGAAAACCCGACAGGGTGGCACGGGCAGAGAAGAGGAGAGATGACGGTAACCCCCTGGCCATCGGCTTGTGGCTTGTAACGTCTATGCCTGTGAAGTGATGGCCCCGGGGAAACCGCACAACCATTCTGCCCAAAGGGGCCAATCGAACACCTGCCGACACTACACGGCGGTGTGCGCGTGATTGCTGATTGCCTCGTGGCGTGAGGTCCCAGAAGACGAGAGGAAACAACGTGTGATCGCAAAGGCAGCTTGCTGTTGCCCGCCAGATAGACATGTTAAGAGGCGGAAATCCCGAAACTGGGAAAGCTGATTTAGGCGGCACGGAACACGCACTGGTTGTGTCGAATAAATCGCTCCGTGAAATGCAGCCAACAGCGGCGCGGGGAACATGTAGTCTTGTCCTTGCTACCACCACGCGCTGGTCACATAGACCCCAAAACGGACACCTCTTTTCTCCTTCAACCCGCTCTTTTCCAGCTCCCTCTCTCTTACCCCCCGATGACGACTTTCTTCCGCGAATCCGGATCGTCCTCCATGAGGTCGAACCCTTTGCCCAGAGCAGTGTTGCCAGCGTCGACCGGTTTCTGTCTTCGACCAAAACCCTTTATCGTGCCGGGGGGGCCAGCTGTATTGCTCCCCTTGCCGCCGCGGGCCGAGCTCATGCCGCGCCTGCTGGACAACCGCAAGGGATGGGCGGGACCAAGGGGCGGGACCAAGGGGTTAAGTTGCGCTGGGAGCTCAGTGCCGTAGCATTATCAGTAGCACATCGTACATAAGGGTCTAGAGTACTCAGTCCTCACCGAATTAAAAAACACGAAAATGTGATGCTCATCAAGCACACACCCTTTCCTAGACCCGGTAGATTCGTTTCGATCAACGCGTACGCAGCATTCGAAGACGCTAAGCCAAGAATGGACCGACTCGTACTTCCCACCCGCAGCTGCGCAGCTTGTCCATTAACGAGAGTTGCATTAGATACGCCAGTCCCAAATGTACGCAGTACAACATCGTGAGTAAGAGGGGAGTACGGCGAGCGGTGTCGGGCCCTGGTTGAATAGGGCAGGTGCCCAGTATAGTGCCTGTGGGTTCGGCGGGCACATAGGCTGAATCACCAATTTATTCCGTACTTTTGAATAGTGCCGGGGTCCGGTACTGTGCCGGTCAACTCTCTGGGCACGTACATGTACTGGAAACTATAGAAGTACAGGCAGAGCCCCCCACGCCCCACCTTGTATTGCCAGTCGGGTCTTCAGGTCCTGAGAGGCTACAGCAGAGCTCTGAAAACATACCTCTACCGCTGCTGTCTGCTGCATGTCTGCTTGGTTGTGTTAGAAAGATGCGTGTGAAAACTCGACGAAGGAGAAACAGGACAACGCCAGCAGAGAAGCAGATTGCCAGGTTTGGCAAAGGCTCAGGCAAACTCCAGGGAGACCTCCGCCCTGTACGAACACAGAAACTCGCCGCTCTCGAGAAGAGAGGGTAAAAAGAGCCATACGAGATTTCTCACCTGCTGCAGAACAGTAACGCCGTGAGCTGCACGTGCGCCGAGGGCACGAATCGGCCCGTGCTACATAAGTTGGAGTGATAACGCACCTTTTTGTGCATGCTGGAAAAACCTGAAGTCCGGAAGCAGCAGCAGATGTCATTGCTGATGTCAACGGCGGTGCGGGCAGACCTGAAACATGATGATGAGATGATGATGCCAACGTTGACGCAGCAGAGAGAGCTCTGATTCCGGCCACCTTGCCATCACGACCACGAACAAGCGACCTTACTCCTGATGCGCGTGGTCTTGCTGCCGCGGTTATCATTGCTCTTGTCTCTCCTACTCCCGTCGCTGGCTGTGCGGCTGCTGCAACTCCCTGCTGTGTGCTGGGATCTCTGGTGTGTCGGTATCAGTCCCGCTAGTCCCGCGCATTCTGCGGTGCCCCACACACCGTACACCCCGTGTGGGGGCTGTGCTGTTGCGCAGCAGACAGAGAGGGAAAGGAGCAGGACGACAGAAGGGAGCAGATACTCTCTCAATAGACACAGTGTGAAGAGGTGAGCCAGAGAGGGTCCCGTCTTTTGCCCAAAGACTACAGCGGTACCCCAATATCTGCCACCGTGTCCCCGCCCACTCTTGATCTCTGCGCGAGATCGACGGGTTCCGCAACATTTTACACCGAGACGGGCTAGACTACATACCAAGACGTGGGCCGTTGCCCGTTGCCTAGACCACCGTATCGTATCCATGACACGCAATCCATGACACGAAGCATGTGATCACCAATAGTCCGACTGACCTGACCTCTCCTATGCACCTGGTATGCCGTAGGTGTCCCAAGGAGAAACCTGTAGCCTGTTTTGGAGATACAGTTGGTGTGTCGTTGTGAGCACCACTGCAGGGACATCAGCCTCTATTTGTAGCCGGAGCCAGATCATATCGGAGGAGAGACTTCTTGGGCTTCGTCCCTGCTACTGGCTGGAAGTGGCATGGCGGCAAGGGGAAGGGTAGGTGTCATGATTCACGGGCGTGTGTTTGCTGTTTGCCCTCCGGGATATACGTGGGGGCGAGAGAACTACTGTACATGCCTGTCCAATTGGTCGAAAGATCCATTCGCGCGTCGGGTGCACCTGTTGTATGCGGGTGTAGCAGAGCTGCCGTAAGCACCCAGACTACAGCGCCCTTGACGAGTGCGGTGCATATCATCGTCTTAAAGCAGCTGCAGCAGCACAGCAATAACATTAATTGACAACTGCACCAGGCATTCCCCTGTGACATTCCATTTCTAGCTCGGTATTGCGACGCTTCCCTGTGCAGCAGGGTCGTGTTGTACCAGACCCTGCGTGCTCGACACACAAGGTTAGGCTCGCACTACGTGCTTGTACATGGCGACCGATAACGCGCCTCTAGGCGCCGACACCCGGCCTTGGTGCAAACTCTGCAAACAGGAGGTGATTTCGAGCTGTCGGCGCACCTTGCCCTTGTCCAAAATAGCATCCTGAATTCCTACGCATTCCAACGATACGCGTATTTATTCGCGGTGCCCACAGCAGAGAAGGAGCAGATGCCTGCTACATGTTCCGTTGTCGCGATGAAATCAGCACTATGGGCGCACGATGTTCCTAATGCTAATCGGCGGCGCCGCGCAGTAAATCGGGGTAAATTCATTGCGCTGATATTATTTTACGCATTGTGCACAAGCAAAAAGGTTTTGGTTCTGACCTTCAACAAACTTAATGACAAGGGTGGCTCGATTGGAAAAAAAGAAAGTCCGACGCTTGATGATCCCACAGCTGGAAGAGTGACGCACGGAGCATGTCATCGTCATTAAGTTTGTTGAGGGTCACAAATCGCAACCTTAACCTTGTGCTTGCGGGCAACGGGTATGTATATCGTCAGGGAATACATGAGAGATATACGTGTTGGTGCAATTGAAGTCATGAACCACAGAGGGCTCGTTCGTCTTGTCCTCGACTAGAATAGAGGAGCCAAGACCATACGGTGGTGCATCTAAGCGACAGTTGCGATGGCCAAAGACGAATTCGTATACTGTTTCACATTGTACGAAGTACAATATATATGGTGGAGCAGACAACCGGTAGGACTACGTGAGTTTTCCCTGCAGAGGAGCCCCTTGAGTATGCACAGCACGGTGTTCCGCCGCGTGTGCTTTTGACCACGTGTGTCTTCCCGAAGCCTGCGTAGCACAGGACCTGCGCGACGCTCAGCGTACATTGTCGCCTACAGCTATGCACAGGCACGAACACGCGCGTGCGACATGATTGCGTTTCTCGTGTCGGTGTTGTAGCAGCAGAATAACAGTGGGAAAATCACTTTTCAAGCCAGCCACGCACGTCATTTCCCCTTTTTCCGACACTCTTTCGCAGAGAGGACCTGCTTCCACCTTGAGCTCCTGTGTGTTGAGTCAGTCCGTCGTTTTGACCTTCCGTACCCCCCCGAGCTGTGGAGAGCGGGGTCGTACTTTGATCAACAAACACGGCACCTTTTACTGCACTTCAATCGTTCTAATTTTACGTTTCTGACTGAAGCTGTCGCGCTCGCACGAAGACTGATCTTCTCCTTCTCTGTCCCGAACGACGTGTGGAACGAAATGACATGATTCCAGCCGTCGGCCAAGGAGAAGGACAAGGAAGATGCCAGGGCGCTGGGGGTGCACCGCGTGCCCGAGAATCAGAAGCGGGAGGTCTACGAAAGGGTTAGGAGGGCTATGGAGGCCAAGACCGGTGTCTGCACCAGCCACAAGGTGGGGCGGGTAAATGTATCACAAAACACCAGAACAGAAGGAAAAAAGAAAGGAAGAACCGAATGTGCTGCGCTGTAACCGCTGTGTAGGGTGGTGTTCACGTATTGGTATCGCGTGTCCGGAGGAATGGCGGAGTGTTGTTAGTCGTCGTGTTGGAAGCTCGGCAAGAAGAGGCGAAATGTTTTGTGTAACCTCGAATCGTGACGCCTCGGCGGGAAACCCCAAAAGTGAACAACTTGTACTACAAGTAACGGAAGACAAAAATATCGGGGCGACAATCGAGGCGTCCAGAATGAACGACTGGATGACAGAAACAACCCCCCTCGACAAGGAGAATGGCAGAAACAACCCCGTCGGCAAGAAAGAACACGAGCTGGTGTTCGTTGCGCCCGTTGCTCGACGAGCAGCAAAATGCGCGATTCCATGGTCGCAAAGCGCGGAAAAATTGCGCTTACAGCGCACGGACAGTAGAGGAAGAGTACCAAATTGCACCCAGTCGCTGCGAGAAATGACTTCCCGGATATTTTGTCTGCTTTCACTCATCCGTTCAAAACTTCGCCTGACTTCCACCTCCAATGGACTACTGGTACTAGCATGTTGGCATCCTTTATTGCGGAAGCCCCCAAGACCACCTGTGCTACTGCTGTAGGTGTGAAGATGCGAAGACTTGCATCAGAGTTCCGAGATTTCTCATCCATACAGCGGTACGGTAGTCGACCTGTGACCACTGAAGGCATCCGCGTTAGTTGCACCGGTACTCACGGTTGAAGGTCTGTACTGAACAGAGGCCGGAACAACTTAGCTATTATTCCGCAGCATTAGCCCCGGCAAAGTGGCGAATTCTTAACCTTTGCATTCGATCGATCACGGACCGGTTCTTGCGAAGGTGGGGTCATCGTCGTGGGACAAGAACGAGCAGAGGGTGCTCGAGGACGGCCTGCGCTACTACCCGCACGACCAGCACAGCAACATGCTCATCTACATCCGTATTGCCGCCGGCCTGCCGAAGAAGACAGTCAGGGACGTCGCGCACCACTTGCGGCACATGCAGGCGAGGTCCCGGGTCCTGCCCGCAGGCTTGCCTTCGTTGCGCTAGATACCGTACAGCAGTAGGTGCACCGCTGTCTTTTGCAGCAGGTGCTATGGTGCTATGAAGTGGCTACCTTGCTGTGCCGTGCGTGCAGCGGCTGCTGCTTGCCGGTACCACCGTTTGGTCCTTCCACCCTGAGTTGTATATCTCCGTGTTGTGTTGGTTTTTGGCGGGCACGTCTGCATTCCTCGAGGACCAATCGAGACATACGTTGTCATACCTCTGATACAGCATCAGTAGCACTAGTATAGTGCTCCGTTCGGGTAGGAGTGGGGGGGACGGCATCGAAAGACTCCTCCCTCCACGGCAACGTTAGCTTGTGGTGAATGTTTCGAGGCTTATCGTTAACGTCGGTCGGTTCTTCGTAGGATTTGGCTGCCGCGCCCCCTCCCATGGAATTTCCAACCAGTTGCCGCAAAACTATGGCGGGAGGCATATGCTCCTCTCCAAATGATGTCGGTGGGCGTGTACGATGTTGAATGAAGTGTCGCACGCCCAGCTGGTGACAAGGTCGGAACAAGCCTTTATGCATTGTAGAAAAGTGGCTGGCCGATAACACCGTCCTCCCGGCTACCCAGCTCGTTGATGACTGGAACGTACGTTAGGTATGTAGCACCGATATATGACGAACATGCACGGGGTATGCGAGAAAGTCTCCCTCGCCGTCATCTCCCTCGTCTTCCTTCAAACCTATGGTACCTCCTACAACCTTACCGCATCATCGAGCACGACCTTTCCCTGACCACCAATCTGGTGATCTGTCCAATCTGTCCTGCGGGAACAATGCCCGGTCCTCTCGAGGACGCGCGGTCAATGGTCTAACAACTTCGGCTCGCAAAACATGAGTACGTCCCCCTCCCCCCTTACCCTACACTCAGGACGAGCACCGGGCAAAGGTCGAGGCTGCTGAGCCAGGGATGAACAACCCGGCGAAGAGGCATCACCCCGATCCGGGAGCCGCGGCGGCGATGGCGGCGATGCACGAGCACCAGATGGCGGCAATGTTTGCCGCCAACGCGGCGGCGGGGATGGCGGCGATGCAAACGCTTCCCGGGCTGGCGCCAGGGCTGGCGGGGCCTAGCGGACCGGGGCCTCACCTCAAGGACGAAAAAGTGGAGGTAAACGGGGGGGGGGGTGTACTCACAGTCGTGCATGCCGTAGTCGTTTGACCATTGACCTCGCATCCCTACAAAGCCGGGACGGAGCACGCCGGGTTCTCACCGGCTTTCCAG